GCATTTTTTCCTTGCAATTGCACATTCAGGTTGGTTAAATGTCTTAAGATATCAGCGAGAAAAAGTAGATTCAAAAGTTGTCTTCTTTCAAAGTCTGCAATTTTGTGGCAGTTCATCTTTTTCTTCTAAACACTTCAAAATACAATTTTTCAGGTTCCAGAGTGAATTGAGTGCTTTTCCTTTTGACAACCAACAGACAATACAATGAAGGGATAATTCATTACCTTTTTACAAATCAGTTTTTTCAAGAAACATATTATGAAAACTGTGGTGGTACAGTGCAGAAGCCTGGATTTTAAGCAGCATACTGCTGGATAGAAATGTTTAAATAACATGACTTAACTACTTACTGTATTATTCTGAATTATCTCAGGTTGACAAATTTGCTCAATAATAATATTGAGTTAGCTCATAGCAGTCAGAATTCTGAATCTATGAATTATCCCAATTTCTTTCATTCCCAGCAATAATTTGGGCTTCATACTAGTTTGCTGACAGGTAATACCTCTGGAGGACTCCTATATTTCTTTGTTTTTATTCATCTCTTATATGTTATACTTTCATTTGGCAAGTTTTTGCAAGTAGTTGTAATCACAAATGTGATACAGGTTTTAAAGTAATGGATTGTTATGATTTTCATGTTATTATGTGGTTATGAAACACGAAAATGCCTCAGAGACTATGAGATTTTGTTGGCGAGCTCAGCAGTGATACTTCTATGTCAGAAGCAGAAATTACAGTTTCAGGTTTAGACAATTCTGTGCATGTACAAGTTCAACAGTGAGTGAAAATTAAGTCTATTACACAGCACAAAATATCTAAGTGGAGTCTGTAAGGAAAATTCATAACTGTCAACATACTACACAAAATGGTCTAAACTTTGGTAGTGACATTTTCTTTAAACCAAATGTAATAATTACATCATCATAACTCATGTAAGCAGGTTGTACATCATGAAGGTGAGGTTGGCACTGAAGGGGAAGGACTTCAAATGTTCCTCACAGTCAAGAAACAATAAAGATCACCAATTTAACAAATCTGTCAACATTCTTATTATGGAATTCTTAGCACTAATATTCTTTAATGGACTGACCATGTTCCTCTGTGGATACATACAGTCCTTGGGTCAATGTCTTACATGCATTTTAAGATTACAAACATAAATTTGCAAGCAAATTTCTGCAGCTATGTCTGTAGTACTGCAGTACAGTTATGACCTTAACTGCATTTTCCAACTTAATTTCCTCTGTCTAAGGCAGTTTCAAAAATGTTCATCTTCATCATGAATAATATATCACATTTCTGCTTTACAGAAAAATCATATCATAGACTTTTCTTACTGTTAGTCATTATTCTTCTTTCCTAGGATAGAAAATATACAATAAGTAACTGCATACTGCACAAAATGTAGATACAAATTTAACAGAATTTCTTACTTTAAAATTATCGTAATATAACTTTCTTAAAATAACATAAAAAAGTAAACATGATGACTTGGATTTTTCTATCATTCTGTACTGCAGGCGAGCAGAGGAACACATGGTAGTATTACATTAATGAATACGGTGTCATAAAAATTGTAACAGTTGGGAGTTTATTATCAGTAGTCAGTGATGATCCCTAGCAGGAAATTCTATAAGCAGATGTAAACAAGATTATATACACAATTGAGAAGCACAGTGTTTTGCGTGAAAAGGTTTTATCAGACCGACAATGTTGTTATGGTGCATGCAAAGTTTCAAGTGAAATCTGAGGGCAGAGAAGGTCCAAGATGATAAAAAATTGTAATGTTTAAGAAAAGGTTTGAAGAGACTGGTTATAACAGACAATAAAATGGTGTATTTGGCAGAAAGAAGTCTGAAAATGATCGGACATTTCCTTGCAAAATTCAAATGTAATAATCCCTGACTGATGTTGACAAAGACTGGTGAATCACTTTTTGTGGACAAGTTCATCAGTATCTGGAAGACAATCCAACAGTTATTCAGACATTTGTTTCACTGATGAAGCACACTTACACTTGAATGGGTATGTTTATAAACAAAATATACATGTGTGAGGCACTGAGAAGCTCCACAGCCATGCAAACACCTTTGCATCCTCAAAAAATGCACAGTATGGAGCTCTATTTCATCTGCTGGAATTGCTGCACCAGTCGTACGACAAACATACAACACAGTTAATGCTGAACACTACGTGAAACTCTTTAAGGATTGTATATAAAACAGCTAAACATTGTAAATAAGATTGTTCTCCTCCCCACTCTTTTACTCATGGTCATACATACTTCATTTAATTCTTTCTCTTCATGGTCATGCATATTATTTCTTTTTCACAGGCACAGGAAGAGGCTTTCTGAAAGGCCGATCTCTTCCACCAAAACGTAACTGGCCCGATTCTTTCTTACCGCCAAATCCGCCTCCTAAAACAGGAAGTCATTTTAAAATAATGCGTTAAGTTGGCCTAAGATAACACTTTCTTGTAGCCTGAATTTGTTTCGCAAACTGCACTTTATAATAACATCATAAATTATAGGTGTTGATACATAACTTAACCTAAAATGTATAGAAGGAAGGATGGCAGTTATGGATTATTCAGTAACCATTAGCGCACTAAACATTCCGACACTAAAAGGACCACACCATAAAGACGTAGAGGGAACAAGGAAATAAGGCTTAATGTATTTTAGACTTTGGCATGTTTCAGGTGATTTGTCTCTGAGAATGCAGCACAACTTAGTATACAAGCAAAAACAAGCGATGAGTCTTCTGGGTTGTAGTGCTGTAGTCTGTTAGAAGTCAAATCCTACAACCAATGTGATCTTTGCTAATTTTCAAGTCTTTTGTGAAATGTACATATGGAATTTACAAAGCAGAATCCAAGCGGCCAATAAAGCATATTTATCGATATTACCACTTATAAAATTCCATGGAATAAATAAGAAAGTAAAAATCACATTATATAAAACACTCATCTGTAGCATAATATCATACGGGAGTGAAACATGGGTACTCGACCAGAATGCAGCACATAAAGTGGATCTGTTTGAACGGAAAATCCTGAGGAAAATTTTCGGCCCAACACAAGAAGCAGGTGAATGGAGGATAAAAACTAATCAGGAAATCTATAAATTATATAAAGACATATCATTGTCACAATTTATAAAGATCAAGAGACTACAATGGGCAGGTCACCTGATTCGGATGGACGACATCCGAATTCAAAAGATGATATTCAAAGGAAGTGTTGGAGGAAGAAGACCAGTTGGAAGACCCAGGAACAGATGGGAGGATGCAGTTCAAACGGACGGATTAGAAATTGGAAGAAGGCAGCAGAGGATAGGACCGAATGGAAGAGGAGAATTGAGGAGGTTTATGACACTCTGTATAAAAAGCAGGAGATATACTAGTGCACCACCATGTTCAATTACATTCTAATGATCACCATGTCAAAGATGGAAAAGCTAGTGCCTGGATGTTCAAGCATTAGAAATCTGCACTGTTATAAAACTAGAGCAAATTATAAAAGATAAAAATATCAAATACCCAATCGTCGAGGTTTCCATCCAGGCAGTTTTCTTCCACACTCAAAATCAACAAAGATTCTTCTTCCATCAATTATCAAATTGTTTGCATAATGGTAAGCTTGATTTGCTGCTTCTTTCTTTTCATATTCAATGAAAGCATAACCTTTAGATGATCCTGTCACTATGTCTCTAATAAGACGGAACCTTCGAATGGGGCCATACTTGGAAAATTCCTGCAAGTAATTAAGAATTAAAAACAATGAGTATTGTAATTTCTCTGAAATGGTCTGCAAAATCAGCCAAAGGTATATGAAAGTAAACAACTTTTTACACAATAATATGTAAGTAGATTATAAGGTTGAGAAAGCGAGAAAAACATATAGCAGGAACCCACAAGGACCTTTTGTTTGTGATTATTTGTTTAAACAAAGTTTCTTTACTTATGATATGTTAGCAGCAGAGCATCAAATTTAAAATTACAAAACATGAGTAGTGAATTAGTAAAGGCATTAGAAAAAGTAGCTGTGACCTACTTTAAAGAACCATATTGACATATGCCAAGGAGAGAGTGAGGGAAACTATAAAACACGTCAGTCAGAATAATCATTCTCTTGGGCACTGCAATGATGACTGAATTAAAACATTAAAATTTTTCTTTAGTCTTGAAGCCCTTAGTGGTTATACTTAATGACTAACAAAAAGATTCAATGTACCATCAACAACTTCAACAGCAAACATAAGTTCAAAATGTAGAAAAAATCTGCCTCGAGGGGGGGGGACTGCCATGCACAAAAACTTGATCCAGCCAGTTTTCTTGAAAGAGTCTGAATTCAAATCCATCCCTATTATCATGGGTCAGTTTCCAAACCTGATGCCACCAACCATTTTCCATAACACATATGACCACCAAGTAAAAACAGTGGTGTTCAAATTGTTTGCTACCCAATATGACCAGTTCTATGGTACACACACTTGGCTGAGCTGGAATTTTCAAAACAGCAAAAACTGACTGAATAAAAATAATTATACTCAAAAATATTAGGCACCATGACAAAGCTTCTAGGTGTCATGGCAACCAGTATCTTTTAAGCCTTGGCATAATGTGTAACTCAGTGCTCTATGGATAATCCAATTTTATTTTGAGAAAGACTATGCCTGTGAAGCTTATAGAACTGAGCACAGTAAATCAACTGGCTGATTTACTAGAGCAACTGTGACTACAGAGTAAAGATGTTTAGTCAATAAATAAAAATATAACATACAGAGTATTACATAGAAGATGAAATGTGAATATAAGTTACTTCATTTACAGAATTAAATAATGTACCTACATTGAAAGATGCTGCTTAAAAGTCATTAAAAAATCTGTAGTTCAAAGCCAATTTGTTAATAACATACTCAGGTTTCAGGCAAAGCAATTCAACTACATATTGAATGTGTAAGACTTGAGGTTCTCACAGCAGTGAGTATGAAGATTTCCGTCTTCTGGGTTGTTGCGCTGTGTAGTCTGGTCGATGTTAACCAACGTTTCAGAGATCATACTGCCTCCGTCATCAGGGCGATGAATCGCAACAACCCTGAAGACGGAAATCTTCATACATATTTAATCTTTTCAATCATATATTTTTTTAAATAAGTTTTTCATCCAAAATAAACACACATTATGTAGAAGTATGCCTGAGTTTTGCAACCAGGGAATCTTTACAACAGTTTCCAAAAGTGTGTATGTGTATCATCGGTGGTAGCAAAAGGATTTGAAGGGATATGTGACAGGGAAAACAAGGACTAAAAATTGTTCCAGAGTTGAGTATTTTGTCAGGTGAACTCTAATACAAAGAAAATTGAACAAATTCATTAATACTGATACAGATTGTAAGTTTCTGTACATTTGTTAGCTTACCTCATCGCATTCTTCTTTAGTACCTAAAGCTTAATCATTATGTGGTTGAACTGCTTATAAGTTAACTGATTCTGATAGAACTTGGAGAGGGGGTACACCAATAGATCGAGATCTCAGAAGTGGCATGTAAATGGTTAATGCTTGAAAATACTGCTTTACAAGTACGGAATTTTGTAAAAGTAGTTATGAAAGTTGACAGTGGACATGAGGCTAACAAACAACCCATCAACATTTATTCTATTTTTTCTATAAATCCTTACAAATGACTATTAAAAATTTATAATATACAGAAAACAAGCAGCTATAATATATTTACTTCCACGACAGAATCTTCTTTTGTTTGTCTGTACAGCCTGGCAACAAAAATTGTACGGTCTGATTTCCCTTTGACATTCTTATCTGGTTCATACTCTGAATCCAGTGCTCGTATAATAGCTCTGTCATGTGGATCAGGATCTGTACCATCTATACTTCCTACTTTCAGTGGATCATAAACTTGGGCATACGGCATCCAATTCATTCTGAACAATTACTCTGTAAAGAAAAATAAAGATTATATGGAATGACTTAAAATTAAAAGTACTGGTATGAAAAAACTGTACCAAGGATATCTCTAGATGATCCATCATGGTTTACATGCCTGTGAAGTAGAAACTTAATGAACTTATACATAAATCTCATTTTAAAATAAAATGAATTCCTGTAAAATTAACAACCTTCCATTCACTAATCTGTCACCCCTTCAGTTGATCTTATATATTCAATAATGGTCAAAAAAGTAAAGCATACTCTCCCCACAAGCGCCTACATGGCATGTAGCAGGACAGCTTTACTTTTTTCTTATTAGAAACAAGTACTGTATTTGTGCCATGACATGTTATCCTTCCCTGGCAGAGGCCTGTGAAGATTCTATGCAATGTCAATAACTTCTTTTCTATTCCAATTGATCTTCTGTGAGGCTATTCTTAAGAGTTCAAGAAACCAATCACTTTCTCAAAAATTTGTAAGATGTCAGTTAAGACAATGGATGGCTGACATATTTTTATGTACTAAAAATAATGACAGAAAAACAAAATAGTACCAATTCACTTATAGAGTGGAGAACGGCTTGTCTAAAGTACCACTTGGTACAAATAATACGAAAACATTGAATATCCAGAAACTCAAGACTACCAACATGATTACGAACGATAAACGAGACCAGGTTAACCAACTCAAGAATTTAATATCCACTCGTTCGTAGTAAAGCACGGAATTCCTGACCTATTTGCGGTTACTTCTATAACACTACTGTTCTTAAGCTATAACTTATATATTCTTAATATGACGCACAACTGTTTTCCAAGACAGGATAAGACAAGGCTGCCGTACGTACGTTAAGTCACGATAGGTCGCACTGCCGTTTATCGGGAAATGCATACTGATTAAGAAGATTTCTTCGGTCTTCTATGTTGTTGCGCTGTGTAGTCTGGTCGATGTTAACCAACGTTTCAGAGGTCATACTGCCTCCTTCATCAGGTCATGGTCATATTGGGTAATAAACCCAAATCGTAAAATAGCGATTAACGTAGATAATAAATGGGGACAATATTAATACTCAGTTGAAATTTTTGAGTAATGTATAATTTATATAAATTAATGATAGACTGTGGGTTAGGGGTATCGATTTAGGATTTTTCGAACAAAACATAAGTAATGTGTAATGTAAGAGGAGATGAACGACCCTCCGACATTTTGATTTCACGTCACGAACTTTCTACGTTCAGCCTTTGTGTGACAAACATTTACTCCTTAGAGAGTGGTTCCAACAGTAACATTGGTAAAGCAGAGAACATAAATGTTCCGGATTCTTTCTTTCTCTTAAAAGTAGTAGTTCCAGCCGGTGTAGTGACTGACTACGGGCTGAACGACCAGGGTTCGATCCCCGACGGGGGCAGAGGAGTTTTCCTCTTGCCTCTGAGGCCCACCCAGCCTCCTATCCAATGGTTACCGGAGGCTCCTGTCCCTGGAGTAAAGAGCGGCCGGGGCGTGACGCTAACCACTCACCCCCATCTAGTGCCGAGGTTAAGAATGAGTAGGAGCTATACCGCCTCTCCCCTCAAGCGCCTACATGTATTTCCACCTACGGACATTACAACGAAGTCTTATACTTGAATTAATTTAATCAAAGAAAATGCAGTATATTAAGCAGAGCCCACCGAATTACTGGAAATTCATTTGGCATTTTGGCTTCTCCCTTCCGAGTTATTTTAAACGCTATTAATTATATCCACAAAAAGTTACCACAATTTTATTGGCATGCTGTAGTTTATATGCATAATATTTTAAGAGAAAGAAATGTGGCGATGTATCTTCAAGATGGGTTCGATTATGGCGACACTAATACAGGGAAAACTAGAGAAGGGAACTGGAGGTCAGATGAGCAACAACTGATTCCATTTGAATGTAATCACATAATTCATCGACACCACAAAAAGAAGTAATTAATTAATTCTGTGAAAATTGTAACAATGCTACTTCAGTTTCCTGCAAGTAAATTTCCTTAAAAACAATGGTATAGATACTAAGCTTAGTCACTTAAAAATAAGCTTACTGCAGCTTACAAGTAATACTTTTGTACCGTATGATTTAATACATTTTTCCTTACCGAGTTCTGAGAAATCTCGTCTTCTTGTTGTGAATCAGAAATGCAAATCTTTGACTTTCCATCAGTCTAAATTTCTTGGTCTTCCAGAAGTTGCAAGCCTTCGAAATTCCATAATCTTTGTGCATATAGGCTACGCCTCAGGACTATTTATAATGCAGAAACATCCAGCCTTAGAATACCAGTCAGACTTTCTTCAGTTATCTGCAGTCCATCTGTCACGTTCATGCATTATCAAAATGGCAATTCAAACACAGTGGTTCAGGTAACTTCCGGGTCCTCCACGTCTTTACGAAAGCAAAATCGGACCCACATATACGTAAAGTTTTTATTTGTTTCCGACCATAGAATCCATTCTTTTCGTTAGACATCTATTTATGACACCTCATGTATGCAAATGATCCAGTATTGCCTTTCATAATCTTAAGGATATTACGCATGACCACAGAGAAGTAAAATATGGAAATCCACACTGGTTCGGAAAGGTCTCTATCTTGAGATACATCTTCTATAAGTTTATACACTTGCTGACAGATTCCCGGTTGAAAATTTCTTGGTCACCATGGTACTTGTCTGTCTTGATCACTTGTCTCGAACACGTAGGGGTTGCTTATCTACGAGAAACGAAGGAAATGCATATGATCCGAGGTGATACGTGCCTCATTTTGGATATGCAAGTGGGTGGTTCCACGTAACGTCCGTAGACTTACGCCACCGTTATTCTGAAGTGTCAATATTCTGAGCTGATGAACAAATGCTGCCGGAAAATGCGACAAACGCCGCCTCGTGGGGGTTTACATAACCTGAACAACAGCCAAAGCTAACAGTTAAATATCGTGAAGGCAAGGGTAAAACCAAGCCTGAGAAAACGTGTTATTACTTTGTTACTTAACGGGTCGGTGTCGAGTATGGACGCTCTGTTATCAGTTATATGGCAGGACTGTCATATTTATATTTTAAAATTACGGCGCATGCCATTTTAGAGTGACTGGGCTCTCGAAGCTTCAAGGTCGCTAACATTAAACTTATCATTAGTCATCACTCCATGCAGTAACTTCCCCAATTATCCGGCTAATGAAGAGGACACAGAAAATATAAAAACACGGAAAATCCAAACCATTTTACTCGGTGCATTCACACAATTTCACGAATCGATTTACTTTTTTCTACACGGAACACCATGCCCGAAACACGCCGTATACAGCATTACATACATACCGTTATATTTTCTAGTGCTATTATGCTGTCTTCATCGATAGAAGTTCTGAGAACGTCCGTCCAGTAGCGTGGTTTCATGGACGCAAACACTCTGTCCCTGCCCCATAATCTTGAGCTAATTCTAAAGCCCATTTTCCGTTCTAGTTTTGTAGGTAACTCAAGATGTTGTTTTACTCGCAGTACAGTTTTCTTACGATTATCAGCTGTTTTAGTTAGAATACACAAGTGTTAACTATAATTTTCACCAAATTGGCACACAGTACAGCATAACAGAACAGACATGTTTAATTGGCCACATTTTCTGCAGACCCTCCCAAAACCAACACCACAACCTGCTGAAGCGGTCACATGGAAACATGTTGAGAGGATTTAAACCCTCATACTACGGGGCTGGTGGCTGGACTGTGGCTCTGGGGTTAAAGGTTTCGCAGTATGGCGCACAACCAGCTGGTCCACACACAAGCAACAAAGGTTAACTTGAAGACAAGGTGCTGAAGAGGAATGTATGGACAGTTGTGGTTGAGGAGGCCGTAGTTGGAATCAATCTGCGGTGCAAGGAAGAAGTGCATCACATTAAAGAAAGTGAATGGATTTGAGAATAAATGTGTGGGATGCGTTGGAATAACTGGCTGGGTGCAAAACAGAATAGAGACAGAAATGGAAACAGCAAACTGAGATAATATGTGACAACAAAAGGAACTAATTCTGGAATGGACTTAAGATTAAGACTCCTGATTCAATAATGTGAACCAATTTTATTTGAAGGTACAAAGTTTAAATAATACTTTTGTTTTGAAGGGGTATAAGAATAATATATGAAACCAAAAAAATATCAAGTTTCTAAGTCTATTAATTTATGTATTATGATCATCATTCCAAATATCATGCACCAGTTGGTGCTTAAGATATAAAGGTATAAAAATACTTTGTGCTCTCTACATTCTAGTAAAAAATTATAATTGATATTGAAGTTTTCCAGTAATGTGCAAGTTTCAAGTTTCTTATTCTTGTGATCAGTCAAAGGCTGTATCTTACAATATTTCAGCTAAACTCGTACATGAGGTATCGATGAAGGATGATTGGGAGAGGTAGTTGTTCTACCATATGTGGCAACTTCTTTCCAAGATATCTGTGTAGGAACAGCCTCGCCTGATGACGAAGTGACAGAGGCTGTGTAGAAGATTCTGTTAAC